TATATATATATATATATATATAATATAAAGCTGCTCCTACACATATAAATGCACAGGGATGTGTTGTACCTATAAGATCCAAAAGCATACACTGATAAGCGTACATGTACGGGATACATACATCATAATTTCGAGATAACGACATACGATAGGATCCGATGTTAGGTCCTTATACACATTAATTAGCTCAGCTACAGTCTCATGTTCGATGCCGGCGGCCGTCTCCAACGAGCTCCAATCGAACTGCTGCATATTAACGTATGTTTCAAGGTCGATTGTAGCGATCCTATACATAGGCGCCTTCGGTCTACAAGACTTATACGCAGTAAAATCGTATAAAAATATGCGAGACTGCCTAATTACACTCTCTGCCTCTGTGGTGTCGAGATTTTACAAGATTTTACTTTTACAAGTTTCCGGTGTTGAAACCCAAGACCCTAGATTTTAGACATGACACAACTCACTGCTGCAATCATGACATGATGACGTGATGCCAATAGCCTCATTACGTTTTACGATTCATTTTTTCAAAAGAAACGCTTTAAAATACTTTTACGTTGAACGCTTACTTTGGGTTGTTCGTATGTACTGGATAAGGGTGTAATGGTTGAGTTTTTAGATGTAGTAGTTTCATTAAATCCAACGCGTATAGTCCGATTTTGAATTGAAATAAGGTTTAATAGATTCTTCTCCTCTAGGACGTTACAACGTATACGCTGAACTACCATAACGTAATGAGTTGTGAATTCAGACACGGGTGAAGGACTATTTGAAAACAGCTGTGTAATACATATCTTTTTGAACACAGTAGCATGCTTCGTGACATGTAGTACGGCTCCACACAAGACCTTCTTTGTTGTGTATATATACGTTAAAACAGTTAAGTATCTGAGGAGGGTTTGGGAGACTCAAAGCATACATACATACAGCACATTTTTAGAACAGCTACGCCTAATTATATGTGTACGATGCAAAAATCTTGTTAACAATATAGGACGGACAGTATGGTAGTAAAGATCAAGGGTGTGCACATGCATGCCTTATTGAGATCGCCATCTGCGTTGGTCTACCAACCGCATGCCATAAAACACTGTGTAAGGGGACTTGGTCACAGGCTCCAGAGCATTACAACACATCTGGCATATCCCACTATACACGCAGATGCTTCATTAACATCACGGTCGCATAGATACATACATACATACTGTTGTGACAAATTAAAACGAACGCCACTGCAGCAACCTCAGCCATGTATACGACAAACCTACAGAACATACGGTAGTGATAGTAGTAATAGTAGTAGTAGTGATAAAACTGGGACACGCACGCAACCTCAAAGCGTTTCGGCGAAGCACGAGCCTGAGCCTTTGTTATCGCGCTTTGACTCGGTTGTGCGTGTTCAGAAAGAGGAGCCGCTGGAAACCCAAGACAACTTAGTAAAGGATGTGTACGCCCGCATGTTCGGCAGTGGAATAACGGCTGTGAGTGGCAATATACTGTCGAAACCGAATACAGTGCCTAGACAGAAGAGAACGAAGCGTGTATCGAGTGCCCGAGGTGGGGCATTGGGTCGAAAGGGGTCAAGTGCAAATCCGAGTGCGAGTATGCGTGCGCATGCATCTGTGAATCCTAATCCGGATCAGACTCTGAACGAAGACCTGAGTGTGTTCATCCACGACATGCTGCAGCGAGGCAAGGCTCGTAGCCCAACAACGGTACACAAAGCCGGTACAAACACAGCGGTAAGCAAAGCCGGGACCGTTGGAGGCCTTGATAAAGCACATGACCATAGCGCCTCAGTCGCAGAACAGGCTGTTGAACAGTCAACCTCGAGCAGTGAGCTTGATGGTGACAGAGTTCCCGGGGCCGAACTGAAGTCGCAGTTAGAAAGCTCACGTGCGGCAGCGAAAGAGAAGGACAAGGAACTTAAATTAGTGGGCTGGAAACCAGCTGTCTCTGGAGACACTCCGAATGAGGGGGTGGTGCTGGAAAGTTTTGAAAGCGCTTTAGAACTGCTCAAGTCGCAGATTGGAGGCATTGCGGGTGCGAAGAATGCGGAGGAGATTGTTGCGCCGGCCACAATTGAGATAGAAACTGATAAACAAGCGCAGGAGTAAGTGTTTTAGTATATTTTGTAGTCAAATAGCATACTGAGGGCTGCACATGGATGCGATAACGTCTATATGCCTGTGTGTACGTGTGTCTTTATCTATATATATATATATATGTGTGTGTGTGTGTGTGTGTGCGCGTGTGTGTGTGTATGTGTGTGTGTCTAAGTATGTATATGAATATATATATAATACATATATATATCTATCTATATATATATATATATACATACATATACATATATATATATATATATACATATATATATATATATATGAATACATGGATGCATACATGTATGTATGTATGTACATGTATATGTATATATATATATGAATACCTGCATGCATTTGTATGTATGTATATGTATATATTTTTAGTTATATATATATAGTGTGTGGGTGTGGGTGTGGGTGTGGTTGTGTAAATATATATCCAATCACATATATATATCAAAGAGTAGAACTATATGTATGAATATGTAAAAGTGTACGTGTATATGGGTGTGTGTGTGTTTTTTTTCTGAGTCTGTGGGTCTGTGTCTGTTGTGAGCAAGTTTGTGTTCATATTTCACGACGTTCACCAGTACATTTGAGGTACGATGCGTTCCTAGGGACACACCGAATGCTGATATTATGTACCTGGTACGGCTTGGTTTCCCCATGTTAAACATTATACTTGCCCTTACCATGCAAATACGTTTACAACCCTCTCAGTGTGGCGTCGACGACGAGTGATACTCTGCGCAAGTTGGAACAAATTCAACTGGACCGGTCTCAGAAAAAGCTACGCTTGTCCTTGGGCCCTATGTTGGAGAAGTACAATCTCGCCCTGAAACGGTTTAGAGCAACCGATCCACGCGATAGGGGTGAGTAGCGATGTAATATGGGAACTACATGTGCTGTGACTGGGTAATTGGATAGGGGTGTATGGCTGAGTCAGATGGCGTATGAATTTGGTCTGCTATAGGGATGGCACCACAAATAGTTGATATTACACATTGGTTGGTAGTTGTGACTATGCACCTGCATACTTGTCCTTGTATGGACATCTGTCCGTTGATGTATATACATGCTCTTGCGTAAAAGGTGTCGTCTGCGCCTGTAGGAAGCTATCGTTCTAGAGTGAGACGTCTCACAAGGAGGACATATATTTCACGGAAGGGCTGTACAAATGGCCAGTTCAGGCTCTTCCTGGGGACATATTTTGGGATATATCTTGGTCTGTTATTCCGGTCTCCTTCAATTCACAACATCCCAATTCAGCTGTGCATTTAGGTCTGTCAATTCATCTCAATTTTGAATATATTCTTCCTATCATCGCAGCAAACATGTATGTGCTACCCGACTACTCCCTGGAGGAGCATATCGACATCGCCATTGCCCATCTGAAATGGTACGACGCAAAGACCGCCCGCAATATCGTCTACGAACTGTCCAACGCAAAAACGTTTCTGCGGTTACCCGAAATAATTCGCGGGTGGCATCTGTCGCCTCAGATCACCCAGAGACTGCTCAAGCTCACGCAGATGCTGGCAGAGCGTGATTTCATGCTCGTGGGCATGTTACACGAGGCGTTGGTGGATGTGTATGGCATGAAGTTCTACAACGTGCAACGGCCCATGGATAGTATGGAGTTGGCGAGTCTGATGGTCGAGGCCATGGTGAAGGGGAGCGAGCTGGACAGAGCAATTAGAGCGTATAAGGTAAGAGGACTGTGGGGGCGGTGTGTTTGTGTGGGAATTTAGTGGATGTAGTTGTTTGTTTTAGTAGGCTCCACGTGTGCCAAAGATGTAGAGCAAGTGATGTACAGCATATATATATATATGTGTGTGTGTGTGTGTGTGTTTGGGTGTTTGGGGAGGGAAAGTCTCAAATTGCTGTGTGAAACCGTATGGTGTTCGCTTTGTAGATCCCTTTGGTACATATTGTTGTACTCTCTGCGTTAACTAATTGCGATACTTCGGTCTGGCATTCAAAAACAAGGGTATGTTTGTGTGTGTGTATTTGTATATTAAATGATTGGGCGTGTGATTGTTGTTAATAACGGAGAGTGTATTGCTCTGCAAGCGTGTGTGATGTACTTTTGTAGACCTTTTTGTGTGTTGTTTGTCTTAATTTACTGAGTTTGTGCGTTGTTGAAAGGAATGGATGCCCCTAACGGAATCTTCTCAGATCGAAATACGAATTTATTCAGCGCTCACATAACATACGCACAGTTATTCGAAACGTTACAAATTCAGTCTGGTTAGGGGTATAGTAGGAGCTGTACATACCTCAGCTATTGCTTTGTGTACACGTTGTCTTTGTATATATACTGAACATTCGTTTGCTGGAGTACTATGGTAGTCAAAGTATATTTACTTTATTGTCCGGGTTGCTACGGATTTCAGGGTCTATGCATATTCTTTGCTACTCCTCGTTCACACTTATACATGCCTACGTATGTGAGCGCTGGCGTTTAACTGATTACCGTACAATCTCTAATTCGTGCACTCCTCCCACCACAGGTGGCCACCAAGCTGAATGTCTACCCGAAAGCACGCACGTATGACCTATTCATCCCCGCTGTGGAACAGCAGATCCAAGACTGTGTTTCGTCGGGCAATAACAAAGCCGCACACCAGTTTCATGCCACCCTCAAACACCTGTACACCGATATGCTGACTCAGCGAATACCTCTGAGTGTGCACACAATCCCCCACTCCTTCAAACCTAACTGGGGCAGCGCAGAACGGCTGCGGTTACTGAGCGAAGGGTACGGTACCATACTCGAGGGAGGTGCGGGGCGAAAAGGGGCGTCCGAGGATGTGATCCCGCATGAGGTGCCTTCGTATGTGCACGCTGTGGGGTTGTACCAGCTGGCCCAGACGGAGTTCTACCGCGACGCTCGCGAGTGGTTCAATGCCTTGATGGTGTCAGTGCGTAGAGAGCACGTGGCCAACGGAGTCAAGTACCGAACTTTGCAGGAGCATGCACGCATCTCCTCGCTGGATGGGGTCTCAAGCGACACGCACACGTGGGTGGACGCAGCTATTGCGGGCCAAGATCTCTCAGCCGAAGGTTCGGAGAGTGTGCCTACCTTTGGGCCTGTGGATGTACACGCACATGCTGCACGCGCCCAAGTCCTGGAGGATGCCCACATACGCACAGGCTGTGGCGAGTACTGCAGCGGAGGCCAGCAAGAAGCCCAGGCGTCCCTCCAGGCGCAACTGGCCAAGCACACCAAATACCGCCCGGAGATGGATCTGGTCACCCACGCGTGCACGGCGTATGCGACGGCCTTTGCCCTGCCCCACAAAGGCGTGGGTGGTGAGCTGCACCTGAGCAGTCTGAGGTGGCAGTATGGGTATGAGATGGTGCGGTCTATGGCACACGTGGGGCTCTGCGTGCCTGTACGGGCGGCCGAGGCTGTGATGCGCGACTGTGTGGGCGCGGGGGTGTGGCCGCGAGCGCTGGAAGTGTACCACGTGATCACGAGTCAGCGCAGAGACGTCGCGTTTTACAGCGCGGTGCTCATGCGCGCGCAGCCCACCGCGCCTGCCGACACGCTGCGGAATACGAACGATGTGCGCGTGATCAACGACGATGGTAGCCAGGATGAGTACGGCATGCGTATGGTAGACATGGCCTTAGTGGCGTGTCGGGAGGGTAACACACCGGCCTTGGCAGAGAAGGTACTCAACGCGGCGCTGTCGTATAATGATGGGGTGGTCAGAGCCGACCATGCTGTGGAGTGTGCAGATAGGGCGGATGAAAAGACGGGTACACAGGCGCACAAGTACGTGTACCGGGGTTTGCCTGAGCTGAGCGTGTCAGACCACACCTATGCTACGGTGATTGCTGCCTGGGGTGCTGTGGGTGACTGGCAGGGTGCTGTGAGGACATACATGGACACTCGTGCGTGTGTACCAGATAACCGGAGCAGGGAGCGTGGGCCACTAACACGCACGCAGAAAGAACATACTGAAAACTCTACGCCTGAGCAGACACGTACGCGCAGACTCAGCCCCGGGTCAGATCGGTTGGCGTCACTGGCTTTACTCAGGGTAGTAGCCACGTGCGGGCAGTGGGAGTATGCGCTGGGGTTCAGCGAACGGATGTTCAAGGGAGTAGACACGCTCTTCGACTCTATCAAACACGCCCAGGCGTATGCGAATAAGGAAGCGGAACAGGGTACGGACACGCGTGCCAGCAGCACTGCGGATGTTAATCACCTGTTCTTCAATCAGGAGTATATATACCCACTCCCACCCCATCTCACGGGTAACGTGCGTGTACCGGAGGACGGGAAGCTGGCGCTCGACATTGCGTCTATGGGCGTTGTGCTGAGAGCCCTCGATATGAGTTCGTCAACGGACAGCGACCACCACACGCATGCCAACGCGCACGGCAATCGGACGGCGCTGAGGTATGAGGATGCTCTATGGGCCCTGCTGGACGGTAAGCATACAGCTAAGTTACAGGCGAACCCCTTCCCTCGACCTGATGGTCTGTTCTTTAACGATGCCATGTACCGTTTGGGCCGCAGGGGTGCGTGGAGAGACGCCGTGCGCCTATTCCGTTACATGCGAACCAAAGGAGTGGCGGTTACGCGCCAACAGTATGGCATCACGCAGGCGGCGGTGTGTGGGCTGAGCGAGTGGAAGACGTGTGTGTACAAGCATGCGCAGACCGGAGAGCCTTGGGGTAAGTTCGACCCCAAGGTGTGGAATAGGAGGTATGTAGAGACGTTCTTAGCATATGGCGTGCCTCTGGGAAGTGCTGCCAATCGGGAGGGGGTGGACGCTAGGGCTGATAGTGACCTTGTTACCAGGTTACGGGAGAGTGACGCGTTGTTTGAAGCCATGATTAAAGAGAATTGGGCCGTCATGGACTATGCTCCGCTGCAGTTCCTGCGGCGAGCCCACCGGGGCGTGTACGATCTGCACTTCATGGGGGTGGAGGAGGCGCTGGCGGCAGTTCGGTACGTGATGCGCAACTACCAAACGGTCAAGGCAGGCACATGGGCTGGAATAGGACACACCCACAGCACGAAGGAGGATGACGGCCTGTACGACAAGTTTGGGCGGGGGTTGGCCTATGAAAGTGCTCGAGCTCGGTCGAGTTCCGGGGCTGTGATCACCGGACCGGCTGCGACAAGCACACTACCAACGCGTGCGGATGAGACTCCCTGTGGGCTGTGGTTTGAGCGCGATGAACGAGATTTCTGGCGGCAGAAGGAGAAAGCTTTAGGTTTCGCCTCTGATATACTTGTGAAGCACGCAGACCGAGAATGGGCTGCTGTGGGGGAGATCAAGTTCGTGGTAGGGGGCAAGGTTGATTCAGGTTGCAGTTCGGTACTGGGGGGTGTGGTGCAGCACTGCCTGCTGAGCCTGGGAGTGCCTAGCAAGGCCGGGTGGACGGCTATGGAGCTGAAGCACTGGACTCTACAGCAGCCATTGGTGACGGTGCGTTTGGAGGATATCCAGAGGTGTGGCGAACGGCTGGCAGATGCGAAGTAAGATGGTGGACACAACGCGAGCCAAATAGTCAAAACTTGTTTTCTCATGAATGCCAAATGCCAGTGCGGTGGTCGGGCCGTGGCATAGAAAGCATCGGTAGCCTCAGGGGTGTCCGGGAGTACTACCACGTTGGTCGGTGATACAGTCTGAGTTTATGTACTTCTGAAATAACGTACACGATAGTGCAATGAGCTTCATTCGGTGGTGTGATAAAAGGCGTGCGAATGCCGATAAATAGTGTGTGTTATGGCAAACTGCGCTTGGGCAGGTAGCCTCCGGTAATCGGGGCGAGGTGAACTCGGTCTCACTTGGAGGCCAGGCGGAAGGGAGGATTAGGTAATCAGACTCCCTAAAGCGTGCGTGTGGGCGGACTTCACGGGTGTGGAGTGCAATCTATGAGTATGCAGTATAGTCAGTGGTGGTGTGTCAACTTGACTGTATTCAGAGACGGATTTCGAAAGCCAGTTCGGCACTTTTAGCAACGCTGGCCTTGGTATTGTGAGGAGTATCGGAGCCAGATGGAACCGGGGAGGTGATTTGCATCCTGTTTGTGAATACGTGTGAAGGCTTTCTTCAGGGGATAAGAGAATCGTTGGCGAGTGCTGATATGGACAGTGGGTTTTTAGGGTTTTACAAAATCCTAAACCCTAAAACCTACTACACAAGATGTCCGATAATCGTTCACTGTACATCCCCGTGGTGATAATTGTGCTTCAAGTTAGAGCGGCTCACGTCGGGGTGAGCTGGCGTGTTGCGTATAGAGTGATACCCAAATACCCAGGTAATAGAGTTCCCATACCACAAGTAGCTCCTTCCCGGACGAGTGCCGATACAAGGGCTGTTGGCCATGGTCGGAGGTTTTTGGTTCGTCAGAGTTATAATGCTGGGCTGCGTCGTCTCATGCACTATTACAACAGCGCATGGTTTAATATTAGGCTAGGCGCATACCGATACGCCCTTTCGTCGTTGGCATACGCATTGAACATCGAAGCGTTAATAGCCTGAAGCACGAGCTGAATAGATCGACAGTATGCTAAAGTCCTGTACCAACGTAACTGTATGTAGATGTGTCAGTTACAAGCTCGTGGCGATTCTATCTATTTCACCCACCGGGAGGATACCGCCACTTCGGTGGATGGCAGTTGAAAAGCCGATATACTTTCTCTAGAGTAAGAGGATTGTCCTTCTGTTTATATAATATGGGGTTGTTGTCGGTATGAGATGCCCACTCTCAATCATATCCGGAATAAACGTGGTCGGATTTGTCTTAAAAAAAATGGTACCGTGGCCCTTGGAGGCGTTCCAATACATAGATCAATGAGTTGGGCACGCGTATTCATTCCATCTCTGTATAGTCAGACACATCGATGCACAATGAATATGATTATACGTCTAGACATGTTGAAGTTGTTGTCGCTATGTGCAGGTACGGTGGACGATCGGAGACAACAAAATTGTGTGAATGAGCGGGAGTATTTCCCTGACGCCTCTCGCAGTAGCAGGTGTAAAGTGTGCTTGTGTCGGACAAATTCTAGCACTGCTATTTAGTCCTATTGTGGCCGGTTGGAGACCACCAGTAAACAAAAGCTAGCACAAAAGCCCCCTCTCACCTTAATATCCGCATCGCAGATTTTATATACATATAAATGGTATATATATGCGTGTGTGGCTGTGTCTGTGTCTGCGTCTGTGTCTGTGTCTGCGTCTGTGTCTGTGTCTGTGTGTATGTATATGTGTATTTGTA